ATAAGGACGCCATGACCAAACGGGTCAAAAAACCTCTCGTTCCACGTGCAATAAAATAAAAGAATGAAGTGTGTACTCTTAAAACGCAGGACGAAATCCTAGAGTATATTTTAATGAAAACTCAAAGTAAAGCAAGGAAGAATTACATTATCTGAAAAAATAAATAAATAAGACAGGCCATCATTATTACATACAGAGTAACTGTCACGTTATTTCCCGCGGTACACAAGGTAAAAGTTGAATAGAGGTAAGGGGACTCTTCAACTGACGGTGCTCGGGTTGTCTTAGTTTTCGACGTATAGTCATTACCGGCGCGCGGCAATAGCAAAGGACGAAAACGAGACCGAATGCGACAGAGTGAGACGAAACTATAGAGAATTTTGTTATCTATCGACATTGAGCATCACTGTCGGTTACCTTATGTTTTCTACAACTATTTTTCATTCTCAATCGAAAACGATATGCGCCACAGAACTTGTTTCAACGGATTTCGTAAAGTAGATGCCTGTTCTATCGCATGCTGCAATTAGATTTTTTTCCAGACGCTTAGATTTTAAAATAAATTGAAAAATATCCGCAAAAATCCGCAAAATAAATATCTATAATATCATTAGAATTTACATTATGTGCTCAAGAAGGTCCGTAGAATAATACTGTCCAAGAAAAGTTTGTCAAATTTTTGAAGATTTTGATTTTCTCAAATGCTATGGATGATGGAGAAAAAAGGATCGCATATCCGAATTCAACATCAGAAATGCTATTAAGATCGTTCATTAAACCTTCTGTGACAAAAAAGAAAGTTAAATTTTGTGAACCAATGTAATTCCTAAGAAAGTCATTTGGTAATCAGTTGACTTAAGCTCCCGAAAGTTGTCAACGATGAGCCTGCCATCAATAAAACAATTAACCCTTAACTATAGACGCGTAGTCTGAGAAACCGCGCTGTTGTACCAGTTTCTGTTTTCCCGCTACCCCACACCTTAATCGGAGTCTTCGTTCTCAGTAGCTTCAGTTTTAGTTATGCTAATGACGATGTAATATCTGTATTAAACATCTCTACATACTATATATACAGGGTGTTTACACTATTACCAGCCAGTGTTTTTCTTGTAAATCATACATATTAGAAAAAAATAAAAGAGGAAAAAGTAGTACTGTTTTTTATACGCAACACAATGGCGTATGTAATGTTTTTGTGTTTATACTATTTTGTTAGATATAAAGGTAATCTTCATTTTTTTAAATGGAATACTGTATATTCTTTTATATCACATAAAACGGTGTGTTTAGACGAATTCATCTGTATACTGTACAGTGACCTTCAAGATCATGCTAGATCAGAAATGCAAGAAACATTTTGAATATTTCATATATATAACGAAAAGTTCACTGGTTTCAAAATTCACGATATTTTATATAGGGGTTGTGAGACCGCCCGTCCATAACAGTGTAAAATGAAATAACGTCCGCACTTAACCGTTTGAGTTCTATGGACGCATATATGCGTTTGGCGAAAATCATCGCTGTTGGCTATGGGCGCATATACGCGTTTTTCGGCTTTTCTAATCGTACACACGCCGCGATGACAATTATAAGTATATGAGATTAATGTACACGCTTCTTAGCATTATTCAACTTGGTGGTACTGATGAATTACAATTACAATTTAATGACAACTTAATCCATTCTATAAACTAAAATAAAACATCGATCTTCAGATAATCAAAAAAATATGCACTCTTCACGGAACGTTTTGGCTGCGAGTATTCAGCACTGAAAGAATTAAAGGTTAAATGATTTCCCATTCGGAAATTCTCATGTTTTAACATTGTTATTTAAGATCGCTGCATCTTACCCTACGAGCGGTAGTGTGCGGATTTCATCTGTCTCAAAGCATAACCGTCAGTTTCCGATTCTCTTGTCAGTCGTGGCATTGAACAGCAACGATGCCTAAGGCACCATAGCCGTCACCATGAACAATTAGAGAGGATCATGCGGGATCAGTGTTAGCGTTCACGGGTGACGGGACCAATATTTAACGGCGCGTTACGCGCGGGATGGGCCGTGTGTGCGCCGGTTTGTTCGCTAAACAATAGACTTGCCGAGTAAGCGGCCGTTGGGCGCGACGATGCGCCGAGACCGTGCTCCTTTCTCCTCGAAGATGGCTGATGCGGTTCGCGGTGGGATGCCCGGCCATTATATCGCCGATTATATCGGTAGACGCTGATAGGGAGTAAATGGAAGCCTGGCGTCAGCATTCGAGGGCGGCTCTCCAACGGCGTCGTTCGACCTCTTCACCGACGCCGCCGCGCCGCCCGGTGCGGCTTCAACAATGCCGGCTCGCGGGAACCCGCTTCAACCGCGAAGTATCGTCATCCAATTTACGCGGCGGAACCTGGAGAACATGCCGAGAGGCTCGGAGAAACCGGAACAGACGGAACAAGCACCAGGCGGTAGAAAAACTTCCGTCGAAGACAAAGCGAGTTTAGAGGAGGAGCGAACGGAAACCGGCGATAAGAGATTTCGATTTTTTCGCGTGCACAAAGAGGCAAGGGTATCGGAAGTGGCGGCATTGATGATCATTTTTCGAGTGGAATGACGAGATGCGGGTGTTTAATGCGCTGCCGCGTTAAGGACACTTTCAGATTTACTTGAAATCGATACCGCTTTGTGAGGAGCTTCACGCTTCGAATCTGTTGCTTAGGAACCGAATTAAGGTAATTCGGTTGATGCAACGGCGAGGGGTCTCTTTTTTAGTGCTCGAGGGAGGATGGGGCTTTGTTTGTTGGTTAGCGAACACCTGCTGCTTTGTTTACCTAGGAAATGTTTTTTATTTGGATAGGTGTTGATTTTTGAGTCTGTATATACTGGTTTGGCGTAGAGTGTGAAAGTGGAGAGCGAAAGAGGATATATAGTGTGGTATTAATGGAAAATAAATATGTTTTATTTTTAAAAAACATAGGAATAATTAATCAAATAAGATATAAATAAATAGAAACGATATAGTTTGCAGTGTACAGGTCTTCCCTCTTCCAAAGCCAACGCAACTCTCTTCAAAACTCTCGCCATCCGCACTTAAAAATCATTCTCTCCCCCACAAGCATTCTTCTCACTCACACTTCCAACAAATTCTCAAACACACCCTACTCTCACTATCACGCACTCATCATCCTCGCTTACGCATTGCTCGGGAAATCTCGCTAACCCTTGGGCCTGGTCTCCATCAGTCCCTTTCTCTTTTATGGCCCTCTTCCTCTCTTTCAGAATACTCGCTGTCCCACTGCCTTAAAACTACGATACTACAATAGAAAAAGAGAGGTGGCGGTAGCGTTTCGTTTTTGATCTGCTGTGGAGCCGTCAATAGTGCTATCTAACAAATGTTACGTGTTACATGTCTCTGCATAAATTAATGGTTTTAATATGTCAGTATTTCTCATTTCTCATAGAAATGTATTTATATGATAAACGAACTTATTTTCAATTTTTTTACAATAATAATTAATACTACTTGAAAATAATATTATAATACTGTAATATTACAGTTGAAAAATAATACTATAATACTATGACAATATTTAAAAAAAGATAATATTATAATAATAGTCTTCATTTACACAGATGTCAGAATATCAAAGAATTGAGGAAAGTATAAACCTGATGTTCCAGCAAATGAGATCTTAAGTAGAAAAACAATATTCTATATGAGTGTATCTAAAATAACTCTTTACTACTTACACTGTCTGTGTTTAGCCAGGATTTATCTAACTGCCCGTGTGTCTAACAAATATTCACACATGACAAATACGTGCCACACAATATGGACGAATTTGCAAGCATATTACAATGGACCTCATTTCTATCCAAACTTTTGTTCTTCTTTTCATCTCTAACCGTTTTTCCTATATAAATCTAAATATTGTTAGGTTCTTTTTCTACTATAAATTAGATAAATTTCTTTTTACGCGCAGATACGTTCTCAAAAATTTAGTGTAAACAGAATTCGCGTAAAAATAACTATAGACACCATAGAAAAGTTGAAGGTTGAAACAAAAGTTTGCAAATCACATATAGCTTACCATTTATTATTACTTGATAAAATTATTAATCTTATATCGTGATTTTTATTCTTATTTTACTTACAAGGTTCAAATGCGAAAAAATGTTGTAACTTTGTTGTCTACACAAACACTAAATTTAACCGATCCGAGAACAAGCAGTATTTGCAGAACAACCCCCAAAAATAAAATTGCAAATTTCACAGGTAAATTGTGAAATCTCCTATAAACTCTTAAAAAAGGATGGTAAAAGGTAATTAATATTTTCAATAGTTCTCGATCATAAAATAACATGTGAACTCATATAAAAAGATCATGGCGACATATTGTCGGCGTCTACTTTGAAAACAGATTTTAAGCGTCCCAACTGTTGGTGGGAAAAAAGTAAATAAATAAAAATCATTTTTAATCTCCCAATTCGCGTAACTCTGAATTCACATAAAAGAATTGGCATAAAAAGAGGATTAGATGTATTACTTTTCTATTATCACAATCGTTAACCTCCGCGAGGAACGTAGCCATAGAATAAATATCAAACTATTTTCCTTCCCGAATAAACTCATCAACGATAAAATAGCTTCATCAAATACAGTTGTGAAAAAAATCAAAGTACAATTGGTTAATCTGAAATACGAAGGATATTATGCTATAAATAGTATGGCCTCTTATCACAGTTAGGCAACAAAACTTGATGTTTAACATACGCAACACGTCTGCGTGTGACGCGTCGTTCGACCACTTCAATGACTCGTGATTGACGGTTTCGGATAGTAATAAGCGGCGCGCGACACGAGTACCGAACCCGGTACGAGTACCGTAGAGAAATTCGATTATTCGACGAGAATTTCGTGGAGCCGGACTTTTCGATAAAAGGAATTTTTGACATCAATTTTTGCGCAGTCTGTATCGCGGGATTAACAAGCGGCCCATGTCCTTTGCTTTCAGGTTATTGACGTTCTGTTATCTGGCCGCGCTGAACTGCTGGCTGCTGCTCTGTCCGGCGACTCTCTCGCACGACTGGCAAATGGGATCCGTTCCTTTGGTCGCTTCGTTGGCCGACACCAGGAACATGGCCACCTGCCTGTTTTTCGGCGGTTGCCTCATCCTCACGTACAAAGCCTTCACGGACTTCGAGGTGAGCTCTTAATTACGAATTAATTACGCGCATTTTAGGCGGACGTTTTACGCAAATCGCGCGGTAAACTTTTATTACGGAGAACATGAGCTGTTTGCAAAAGTTTGGTTTGTACTCGATGTTCGCAGGAATTGTTCGCTCGACGGATTTATTCTTGTTTATGCCCGGGATGAAGTTCTCTTTATTCCGGCATATCATGTCCGACAAAGAGTTCAAGCATGTATCGCTTTGTGTTTTCTTATACTGTCTCTTGTACTGTCAGTACAAGTCTGGGCCCATCTGAGAGTCAGCAATTTTTTTGTCGCGGTAATTAAGTCTTGCAACATCACTTTTTATTCATTTCAATGTAAATACGGATTATTGTACTTTTAGTTTAGTTTTTATTTTTATACTTTATAGAGAGATTCTTAATATCATATGAAGCAATTATGAGGAATTGTTATGGTTAGACAAAAGATAAAGGTGGCTCGTTAATGACACATGGTAAGGGTAATTCCTGTACAAAAGGAACTAATTTATCTTTCTGTAACTTGCTTGATGATACTTTAAAGTCTTCTTTTCCAATATTTTCTTCGGTGATACATAAATTCGTAATATAAACATAATAGATAAAAGCGCTTTATTTTTACAGAAAATGTTCCTCCGGTACATAGAGCGATATGCCTTTATGGCGAGAATGGATAATAAGTTATAATAAAATAAAATATATACATAATAATTATTTAACAGGGACGGGTAAATAATTATTCATTTATGCACGACTAATAAACTATTAATGTGTGAGCAATAGTTAAAAATAAATAAAATTAGTATATAACAAAGTATACAGAAGTCAACAGCTTAATAGTAATTAGTTAGTAAAAATGACAGACAGTTTAACAGAGATGGATAAAGATTAAAAGACTTAGTAGACTAGACTAAGGCAACTTAGTAGACTAGAGATAAAATGAAGTGACGTGTTTGCTTTTATTTGACATATCGTGCGACCAATTCTATGATAATGACATAATGTCAATAATGACAAATTTTCATTAGAAGAGGGTATGTATTGGAACAATTGTGTACGTTCATTTTTAATACAAACTACTAACGTTAAACGATCTACAATCTTATGTGGAATATCAAAAAAATAAATGAGTTGTTTTCATTTTCTTGTCTACGGAATATCTAAGAAACTTGGTCTGGAACGTGACCAAAAGTCTCAAGTTCAAGATTCGTGTCACTATTAGTTTTTCTTATGGATCTTATAACTGCTGAAGAAGTTGCAGAAATTTACCGTTTTACATTCTGCCCATTGTATTGCCAAATTCTCTGGAACATTAAAATTGCAAATAGGAGAATAACTGCAAATGGAAAAGTAAATTCAGGTCAGTCTGAAAGTACTTCATAATATACATTATATATTATATAATCAATATAAGTTTCGCAATTTCTTACCACGATATACTACTATTTCTTAAAAAAGTCATCTGATCTTACTGCTTAAAGGGGTAAAAAAATTGGTGTTTTACCTTGTTTAATACAATGAAAGTTTTCTGTGTTTGTTGGAACAAAAAGAATCGTGTTATCTATCTTTAATCGTATAAACATAATTTTTTATTAATAAAAAATTATTCTACTTGTAATTATATTTATTTCTAACCAATAAAAGACTAACATAGTATAGAAGGAGTTTCATTGTAACATACGTTTCCGGCAGCGAAGAACTCTGATTATATAAATTTCCAATAAGGAATAACATCGCATGCTTAAAATATTTTCGTAACATTTGTTTACACATAAACGGTTAACACATTGTTGATCGGTCACGAGTTAACTCGTGTTTTCATACCCAAACGTTGTTGGCCGGTCACAAGTTAATTCGTGTTTGCACTTGCATCAGCTGTCTCAATTTTTGAAACGTAGGGTAATATATAATACTACAGAAGCAAAATATTGAAAGTTATGTAAAAGATATGTCCAAAGTTTCACTTACAGTTCATTATGTATAAATAAAGTATAATGAAATTTATTTAGATTGTTTCACTTTCATATTTAATTACGGAATAATAACTGGTGACACGGGATAACTTCCGCGTAAAATTGCCGATCAACAAAGTATTAAAATACATTCATACGTTAGCACGTTTTCACTTGTAAGTAAAGAACTCCAATCAACTCCTGCGACAGAACAACTAAATATCGATCTCAAACAGCATGTCTACACCAGAATGTTCTCTTAAAGCCAACATGCACGATTTCCCGTACGCCTTGGCGGGTATTGGGTTAAAGGTACCGGCGATGTTGAACACGGACTCGCGAATGGCCTTGCAGTTAAACGATCAGCCAGTTATCGTCTGCAAGAAGTCATTTCGCCCGCTAAACGTTTCGGCCACGAATGCAGGAAGCAACGAACCGCAAAGTTTCGCGCTGCCTGCCGGTCCCCGGCGGGCAACGCGGCCGCCTATGATAAAGTTGTACTTGGCTCGAGAGCCACGAAGAAAGTTTCGCGGCGCAACTGCCGAGTCAACTGGTGGGGCCGGCCGGCCTCGAAGTCCTCTGTCTTCCGGGTTATTTATCAGTAACGCGACTGAGCATTCAGCGTAATGACCTCTTCAAGGTTTTCCGTACTTGCGGGTCGTCGGCAACTTTTCCCGAAGAAGCCCATATCTGCGGTTTTAACCTGTTCACTGTGGAATTTAGTTTGAAAAGTCTCAGCAGGTCTAACCTTGAATGTGACGCGACATAATTTTCAAATTCAAGAATTATAATTATTTTAATTATTTCCGCACGCCAATTAATTCATTTATATTAAAAGCAATCAATAAAGGTCTTCAATTGTTTTTAGCTTAATTTATACTTCATAATTTGTACTTACAACTTTATTAAAATTGAGACAAAGTTCTTAGGTATATGATGAATTGATAAAAGTAAAAAATTAATTCAAACTGGACTACTAAGAATAGGAAAAATTAATTAGTACCGCAAAGGGTTAAGCCGACGTGAACACTCGTCAAACGTAGTTCAGTGGTTAATGTTGCCTCACCCTTTTTCCACTCCGTAGTCGCTCGGAGTGGAAGTTAGGGACCTGGGACCACCTTTAGTTGGTTGGCCGCGCTGATGGAACGATGCGCGGACACCCTTTTCAGGAACGAGGCCGGCCTCGCCTCCCCTGTTCCCTTGTCGCGATAATCTTTGTACCCGACATCCGATTTCTGAGATGTTTCTGTAGTGGTACTTGCCGCCATTGTTCTCTGTGCCGCATTGTTCGCATTCAGTGTGTGTCTTCCACACAGTTCTGCCGGGAAAAGGGCGGAACCGTCGCATGACTGTTCGGCCGTGTTGATAGAAGTCTCAATTTAACCCAGATTGTTTCAGAGACTGTTCCTACCTGATCCAGATTATCGTGCACCTTAAAGACACTTTGGTGACCCCTGGTAGGCCACGCAGGGTCCTGATTGTCCTTTAATAACCCTTTAAGGGACACTTAGGACCTTGCAGAGCGTTCAATGGCCCTTAAAGGGCCACTTCTTCTGTCCGTGAGGTAGGAGTGGTTATAACTGAAATGGCTGAAGGAACGGAAAGAGAAACTGAGAATTGTTAAAATATTGAGGGAGAATGGTCAGAGATGACTAAGTCACTCTTGCTGAATGAAAGAAATTTTAAGAAAAGTTTTGTGATTTCTATTGGTATATTAAGTATTATTAACACATTCGCGTCGTAACCTGTTTTTACTGTCTCTCCCCACAGCCGTAACTTTTCAAAGGAATAAAGTTTTGGTTTTGCTTTTTTAATAAGTAATAGGCGGAAGTTGTATAAAACCGGGTATTATTGTTTTTTATAAGATAAAAGTTGCAAAATGCAAATGAAACGTCCCGTCACATTCGGACAGTCCTCAAGACATTATGAAGTGAATCTCAGAACAGATATCGTTGTAGTGTGTCGTGTAGACGAAGTTAAAAATGTCAGCATTTATATGGTGAAGTGGTCGCTTTGTCCTTTTTATATTTTGGCATTAAAGAATTCTCGATATTCTGTAGTCTTTACAGTGTATTTTGCCACTTTATTCGTCTTTTTATTGTATACTGAAGTATAAATATTTAATGTTTAAGGTAGAACCGGTTTCCCAGTTTTACCTCATACTACTTACAATGGCGAACAAAAATAATATTGTTTAACTCACAGAAACTTAAATTCGATAAATGTTCCTAAGTCCGTATTATCTATTTCTTTAAGTTAAATTAAATTAAAATAGTTTCATATTTGTTAAAATGATTGAAAATAACTTTTTTAATATTTCTTAATTTTTGAAAGTAAAAATTTTATAATTATATTAATATTTTATACGTCTTCTAAAAAAACTGGAGTTTTGTGCGCTCCCGTTAAATCTTATTTTCTTGTAAATAAAACTATTTTTACAAAAGGAAACGTTCTTTTTTTATTCCTTAAGGTCCACTGAAGAGATTTAGACTTGTTCAGAGTTTCTTTTGCCATCCGATTTTTTGATACAAATAAAGAAATACATTACGGCCCCGGTGGTTCTGCCCTACTATCAGCCTTCTTTTGAATGGTTCAAAACGATAGATTTCGAAAAAATCACGAGCAAAATAAATGTATGTATCGAGTTTTCCTTGGTTCCCCTGTAATACACGCAACAGTTTTAGCACACGCTTTATGTTTTAAATCTCTTAACAATTAGTAATTACGTGTATTTTAATTATTTTTACATGTAACACTTATCTTATTCTGTAGGGGTACGTCAAACATACAATACATATCTAAGAAGCGTTAAGAATAAAAAACTTATATAGAAGAATAGGAAATGGATTGTCGGTGGATCACGATGTCAAGAATGTATTAATTATTTATACATATATAATTACATTCAAATACTATGTACGATTACATTACTAAGTACGATTTATAAATAAATGCCATAGGTACAATTACTAATAAATTAAATAATATATTACACATTCAATATGTATAAAATAAATAAATAATTTAATAAAATATTATTA